TGAAACAATCAAAGTGTTAAACAGCTATTCATACTAGATAAGTGAGTTAAATGGATGCTTCATGTATGATAATTAGCTAAGAAAAGGTTGATTATGTTGCTAATTAAGTGATTATTTTTGGAGTGAAAACTATCCAATAGTGTGGGAAGTTTTGCACCTTTGGCAATCCTATTGTTCTAGTGCAGATTGACAAAGCTAAGTGAATGCTCCTGGTTATCTTTCCAATCACAGAGCTAACACCTTTTTTGTTCAGTCAAAGTTTAACTTATCTATAAAAGGTGTAAGGTAGATCCATGGGAAGAAACCAGATCCTTAGAAATTCAGAATTTCCCAGGCCTGCCAATTCTGCTTATATTTTACTACTTGTAAGCATCAAATTGTGCCTGTTTTTTCCATGTGTCTAATTCCATTTTTAAAGTCAATTTTATTCGAGCACTTCTGAAAAGGGCTGGGATACCAGTTGTGGCTTCAGCGGAGCTCTTCTCTACTCTGACTTAGACCTAGGGATGAAAAGATACATCACTGTACATGTGCATCCAACTTTGTACTTCAACTATCAAAAAGATGCGAGTTAGGTCCTGCAGTCTCTTGTTCTGGGATTCCCTGTAGAATCCTGACCCTTAAGGAATGACATCTATTGCAGAACATACTTAGCACTGTGCTTCCCAGTCTTACACCATCTTGCCTATCCCACTCTGGAGAGTGTTCAAAAACAAGGAACTAGATAGGGATATGGTAAATCAGTGTAGAGCTTGCCAGTTGCGTGCATCTGATTCAAACTAGGAGTAGGCCAACATTTGTACCATGTGTATCTTTGCCAGGTGCCCACATGCTGGACTCCAGTCTAGATGGGACCTTTGGACTGGGGTTGGGTGACTCTGTGGTTCCAGTAGTGGAAACAAATATATGTATATGTACTTGTACATATATACATATGCATATATATTCTAAAGATCCTATCTATGCACAAGCACACATATTCCTCACCAAAATGGAAAACAGAAAATCTGTGTTTAGTGCCAAACAAAACATTTAATTCAACCTTAAACAATTTTGGGAGGCTTGGGGCACTTGGAAAGCAAAGTAAGTAGGCTCCTGGTTTACACTGGCATAAACTTAAGGGGGGGTGTACAGGGACAGCTCAAAAGGCCTACCACTGCTAAGCGGTGCTTTGGCAGTCAGCTCTGGATACATACTCACTTAGGCTAGAAATAGCCTTTGCAAAATTAAGAGGATCAGTTTGCTGAGACATATCCTAGCACATCTAATCCATTTCATTCAGCAAAACGGATATCACCAATTGTCCCACCCATTCATCTTGCGGGACAATGGGCAATGTGTTCCCCCAAGGATTCAGAGTCCTGGTCCTGTGATGCCTGGGAATTCCCATCCAGGATTAGGCCCCTCAGGCCCAAGAGTGCCTACCCAGGTTTCTCCTCTTCCAGAGATGCACTCTGGGGAATCTTGGGGAAAGCCAGCTCCAGTGAGGTCCCAAAGCTAAGACCACCAATCAGCTAATCCCCAGGATCCCAACAAGGGAACCCACGCAGGTGCTCCTGGGGCTTCAGGGGCTTGATCCTGCACACTTCAGGAATGCAAGTTTCCAGAGCGTATAGAATTAGGCCTCTGAAGCCCCGGGAGTGCCTGCTTAGGATGACTGGAAAGCACAGGCAGCTCCAGACTGACCATGCTCTCCTTCCATAAACCTAATATACATCTACCACAATAAAGTGGCACAAATTGATACCACCTATGTTATGGACAGAAATTTTGGGCATTTGTGGCATGCCTAAGGGCATGGACATATGTTTGCATGGCCCTTGTGCCATCATAAGAACTTTTATGGCAGCACAAAGGTGATGTCTGTTTCCACCCTTACATATTCCAAGGGGCTACACCTTGGGACCTAACCTGAACTGGTATGCTAGACCACTGGTGCTCAGTCTACAGCTGGCAGGCCAGATCCAACAGGCGAAGCCAAGTCATTCAGTCTGTGGGATTCCTCACACGTCCAGAAATTTGGCAGTGGGGGAAGTAGTGGCAGCATTATTTGCTGTGGGTCTCAGAGCCATGGGAAACCCCATGGTCCAGATGATGTGGCCCCATATATTGGATTGGGCTGCGGCAAAGCATTGGTCCATGGAGCCAGATGGGCTGGGCAATACTGTGCTAATAGGGAAGCTAGACATGATAGCATCTGGCCTTCTGAGCACTTAAAATCTTACATGGCTAAGCTGGCAAAACAGCACCCAAATCAAAAAACTGGGGGCAGAAGCGTGAATAGCTTGGAGCAGTACTGCAGGATTAGGATTATTAGGATAGGCTGAGCCAATGAATTGTGGTCCAACACTTCATGAACATTAAACCATTGAAACCAGGTGAAGAATAGAAACTGAACTAAAATTATGTTCACTCAGTTGTTATTACTCAGAAAAACAATGGGAACCAAGGTTGGTGTGAACAGTATGTGATCAGACCAAACATAAACATCCTGCAAAACAAAAAGAACTATATGATGAACTCAAAAGACAAGACATTCACTGGAAACATACAACATCATAACAGCCTGCAACACTTTTGGTAATGCTGCCTGAGGTGAAAAATCTGGGTGGGAAATGTTTGCTTTATGCAAACAAGGAAGGGGATCATTCTTAGAAGGAACATAGGATATTTAACATCAGGAAGAGGGATGAAGGCCACTAGGACAAAGACCTACTAAATGGAAAGTCAGCCCTCATAGCATTTGAGCCCATGTCTCTTCACATATGGAAGGTGAGACTCAGGACCAAATCTGTCACCGTTACAACAGTATACATTTATGCTCTGGCCTAAACAGTATCCAAGTAGAAAATTGGTGTATTGTGGAGGATTCATATTAGGGAATGAGGATTGTGAAGGTGAATTAGAAAGAAGAATCAGATAAAATGCTACTGCATTTGGAAAAATTAACGAGATCTGGAAAATAAAGGATACCTTGATAAAAATGACAATCTCAGTATATGGGACAATTACAGTGCTGATATCATTGGCTACATCAGATTGCTGGAGTAGAGGCGAAGTCACTGCATGGGAAATATTGACTGAAGTGAGGTGGCAGGAAGTAATACTGAGACTCTCAAGATTAAAGAAAATACAAAATAAAGAGACAGGAAAATTTCTTAAGATGAGAAAGCTGTTACAGAAGATCCAAGAAAAATGTTTTGGCTGGTTAGGGCATGTATCAAGAATGAAGCTGGAAATGAAACCACACAGGACAATTCAGATCAAATGCAGGGAATGAGAAATGGAGGAAGGTCAATGATGCATTGGATAGGCTTAGTGTACTGGAGGCTTCTATGGGTACAGCCCTGTGAGTCAAGAATCCTACCTCTTCATATCCTTGACTGACACAGCCATTGCCAGGGAAGTCTGAAGCCTAGCTTTGGCTTCAAGCCTAATGTGTGTATGTGACAGGAAGCAGCAACACCTCTAGAAAAGAACATCTATCCTGTAATATGGTATCTGCTAATAGTCAACTTCCTTTACTCTTTTTGTCAGAATAAAAGACACTAGTTGCCCCCCACCCCCATTTTATTCATATATTAATTACCTCAAAATATTAAGAGAAGGAAAAATATATATATATTTTAAAAAGGATAGACAAGATTTCTGTGTTGACTTTCTGAATGCCCCCACAAATAAGAAAAAATTTCTTCATGGTTCATGCGACCAGACTCTGGAATAGATTCCCAGTGGGGGTGGTGCAGGCACCTACCCTGGATATCTTCAAAAAGAGACTGCATGCACCTTACTGGGGTTATTTGACCCTGGTCTTTCCTGCCCAGAGCAGGGGGGTTGGACCCAGTGATCTCAAGAGGTCCTTTGCAGCCCTAAACTTCTGTGAACCTGTAAATAGCTACATTCCAGAGAGTGATTTTTAGCATAAATAAATAAATAAATAAATAATGAATGGTGACCCCCTCCATAAAGTAAGCATTGGTTGGAACATTGGGAGAGAAAAATTAACTTAAAATTATTCACACTTCTTACAACACTTTGCTATATAGCATTTCAGTCTACAAGGGAACTGTGTCATCACCATTAACCCTATTACAAACTGTCTCAACTATATAGATTACCACATATTATTTCCCATTTGAAAAATCCCATATTAAACTCCACACAACTGTACATACATTGTGGGAAACCTAAAATGTATTCATTATTTCCCTGACACAAACTTATTACCATAGGAATTGCATCATTTCTGTAATTATTAGTGATAAAAGTGTTTATCTTACAGCAGTGCTCCTAACGTCCTTATTCTGGACACTGGACAGAAGTGTGACAATTCCTATTTGTGAGGTTTCTTTTTAATTTGTGGCTTAAGGTTGAATTTCTAATATCCACTTCAGATACAGACAAAATTTGGCAGTTTTGGATTCCGAGAATACTTAAGAATTTGAAAAAAGAATGCCACTGTAGCCATATAATTTGAATCAGCATACCCATTCAAGGCATGCAGTTACATATTTTTGAAATTCAGGCATGTACAATCTGGAAACCAAATAAACAGGCCAAACAAAGCCATTTAAAATGCTGTGCAATTTTAACTGAAAGCAAAAATCTGCCTTGACACTAGCATTAACCTGACTTAATGCATATGCCCCATTTCCCAATAAAAAAAGAATAAGCCACGGGGGAGACATTGTGTTATAGAGTATACATTATATAGTTCATGTATATGTTATGAACCCACATTTTCAAAAGCTTGACTGTCTCTTGAATCCCATTTTAGTATCCTGTGCAAGTGTCATTGTTTATAAATATTAAGCAAGTTGGGAACAGTCATCATAATGGCAGGCTTAAACTGTAAGCGCGTTGGGGCAGGGAATGTCTTCTTGGGGTTTTTTTTCGTTTATAAGCTGCCTGGCATGGTAGGGTCTTGATCCTTGATAGGGGAGTCCAGGCACTATTTCACTGCAAATAATAAAGAGTAAGTTGTTCCCCCCTCCAGATACCTTGTAATTTCTGGCTGTATTCTGTCCTGTCAGACTGGCTCCTCCTCAAAGTGCCAGAGCTACTATGGTCCACAGGAACGCTGCTCTCCACAAGAGTGTCTGTCTTTCGTCTCTCCAGCATGTACAGCCGGTGTTTCAAGAAGGTCAAATTCTTCCTCTTGGCTCCTATGCTTTCTTTCCCAGGGGCTTCTTTGCTCTCCATTTTCACCAAGGAGCAGTCCCCTCACTTGCTTGAACGAAGCAATGAGGTAGGAAAGAGGTGGGTGCAGTGCTTCTTGCTCAGGTGAGTGTAAAAGCTGCCTTGTTTTTAAGGGGGGGTGGGAAATGACTCCACAAGTTCACTTGCTACCTGGCTCAGCCTGCCACCTCCACAGCCTCCCAGGGCTCCACCCCTATGAAGTCATCCTGTAGTGCACCAGGAGCCTGCCTAGGGAGCCAGCCACCTGTTACCTGAGAGACCTGCCGCACAAGGAGCTCCTCTGCCCTGCTGGCAAGCAAACAAGCAAGCCCATTTTCTGCCTGTTTGCAGTGCAGTTGCTTCTCCAAGCCCCATTCACAAAGCAAGCCCAGATTGAGACCCCCTGTGCAGACAATGACATGCCAGTCCCCTCCCTCCTCTGGGGCTATGCAGAGTGAGGCACTGGGTAGGTGGGGAAGCCTGCGGGCATTGTTATGCAGGCTGCTGGCAGGCAGCAATTGCAGGCTGCTGGGAGTCCTATTCGGGACCATTAACACACCAAAGAAATGCAAAACTCCAGAACTCTTGGTTCAGAGATGATGCCTTTTATGAGACCAACTGAGAAATTGCAAAAAAACCTCTCTCTTTCTGCAAGCTTTTCAGCGCACACACCCTTCTTCAGCCTCAGGGAAAATGAAAAATGGCAAAAAGTCCCCATAGCTCGAAAATAAACTTCACTTTTGCATAGAGGAAGTTGAAGGTGGAAGTCTGTTCCTCTGAGCCCATTAAGAAATGCAGAACTCTAGAACTCTTGGTTCAGAGATGATACCTTTTATTAGATCAACTAAGAAATTGCAAAAAAAAAAAAAATAAATAAAAAAAAAAAATCACCCTTTATCTTTTTATCTCTGGGTCCATTAACACACCAAAGCTGAGATTAATCCTCTTACCAGCACAATGGCAGGCTTTTCCCCTCTGTGTGTTCAGAGGGAAAGAACTTAGTGCACTAAAGATCACAGCTGCCCTGCTATTTGCTGGCTTTCCTTGTCTGATCACTGCCAAAGGCAGGCAGGGAGCCAAGAACAAGGTGAGTAGAGGGTGCAATCCAGGTTTCCACACATCCTCAGATTTCCTCTGCTTTATACAGTGTGGGACCTTGAGAAACTTGAATGAAAAGAGATGGGGGAGGGAGAGGGAACTCGACAAGGAAAACACCTGTGTCAGGTGTGCAATGGAGTGCTGCAGCTGCCTTGCCTTCATCAGGGAGGTGTGTCTGTTTCATTGGTACAGTGTGCTATGTGGGGAGGAGGGAGCATTTTAAAGACCCTACCGTGAATTTCCCTGGTCTGCATAAGCCCTAATGCAGCCTTGAGAAAAAGCAAGCTAAACCAAGGGGAAATTGCTAGGGGAAATATAAGCACCAAGAAAGAAGACAGGAAGAAGTAAAGGGAAAAAAAGGAAAATACCCGGTGCCTTTTACAGAGATTTTTACATCTCGTTGTGATGTCGTGTTTTGAGATCTTCAGGTGAGACACATGATGCAAAACTGTCCCCTTGCCCCTTGAAGTGAATGGGCAGACACCAACTTTCATTGGATTTGGTAGATGTTGAATCTGTTGTTGTTCTTATTCTTATCATTGTTGCCTTTGTAAAAGAGTGTTGTCATCACCATCGTTTTATTTTACTAGAGTTTAGTTGCAGCAGCTCCTGACATTTTAACACAGTTCAAATGTTAAAGGACCTGGTGACCGTGTGCAGTGTGGAAGCATCTTTCTGGTATGTGTGTGTCTGGAGGAGGGGGTAGAACTAGTATAGTCAGTGTAAAGACACAGCTGGGTGCCCAGGGCAAAATGGAAATGGTGACTTCTGGTTGCTCCTGTGATTGTGAAAGTGAATGTGTGACTGCTGGCGGCACCTGCTTTTCTTCACCCTGCCCACCATCCAAGTCAGTGCCTGGAGTGGCTGCTGTAACCCCCTGCCCTCCAGTTATGCCACTGGCTGCAG